TCTGAAGGTAAATAAACTCTGCAGGAGTCTCGCTCTGATTTAAATGCCAGAAAAACCCAAAATACATCTGGAAAGATGCAACAAACGAGAGACGCTGTTTTCTGAATTATGATGTGAAGGACAGCCCCCCCCCCGAGAACCTCTCTTTAAGTGCTGACACACAACACACTTTCTTATATTTGAATCTGTTCAACCACATTGTTTGGATTGTATCAACCATAATGAAGCTCTAACAAACAAATATATAATCTATATAGTTATTATTAGTCTGCCACCGGGTCAGATTCCTCTTGAAATCAATGAAACCAGGATATCAAATATATATAATAATAATAATAATAATAATAATAATAATAATATTATATGTCTGTGGAGTAAGAAACAGCATTTAGAGGATCTGAAATAAACGTTTGAACAGAACGAAGACAAGCAGAGAGACACAGACAGGCAGAGAGAAAGACAGAGAGAGAGAGAGAGAGAGACAGATGGAGAGAGAGACAGAGAGAGAGAGAGACAGACAGAGAGAGACAGATGGAGAGACAGACAGAGGGAGAGACAGAGAGAGAGAGAGAGAGAGAGAGAGACAGAGACAGAGAGAGACAGAGAGAGACAGAGAGAGAGACAGAGAGAGACAGAGAGAGAGAGAGACAGACAGAGAGAGACAGATGGAGAGAGAGAGAGAGAGAGAGAGAGAGAGAGAGAGAGAGACAGGGAGAGAGAGAGAGAGACAGAGAGAGAGAGACAGAGAGAGACAGAGAGAGAGAGAGAGACAGACAGAGAGAGAGACAGAGAGAGACAGACGGAGATAAAGTCAACAGACAGTCTGAGTTACGACTTGTTGTTTTTCCTCCCGTCAGGACGCTCAGCGAGTCTCTGTGTGAAATGAATCAGGACTGTAGCGTCTCTGTGGAGGGTCTGCACGTCTCAACGCTGCACAGACTATGAATTATGGGTATTTCCTGCTTCAGCAGGACCAGCAGCAGAGAGAGAGAGAGAGAGAGAGAGAGAGAGAGAGAGAGACAGACAGAGAGAGAGAGAGAGATAGAGAGACAGAGAGAGAGAGAGAGACACAGAGAGAGAGATAGACAGAGACAGAGAGAGACAGAGAGAGACAGAGAGAGAGAGAGACAGAGAGAAGAGAGAGAGAGAGAGAGACAGAGAGAGAGAGAGAGACACTGCCAGCGCTGCAGGTTCATCAGACTAAAGGAACAGTTCTGGGAGGTATTTATGTGTGTTAGGAGGTCGAGTTAGCCTAGCTTAGCATAAAGACTGGGAGCAGGGGGAAACAGCTAGCATGTCAGTTCTGAAGCTCACTCTGAAGCCAACATGATAAAAACATGTTTTTGTGCTCAGCTATCGGACACACGTGAAGAAGCAGAAACGTCTAAATCACCACGAAATCAGCACATTTTCTGCCAGTCGGGGAATTCCCTCCATCGATTGTCTCACAGTAAACATGTTTCACAGCAGAAACAACGACGGCACCGTGGACAGAAACAGCTCTAACACCAGTTTAAAGGCAACTGACTTAGTTTATGTCAAACATAATAATCTAATAATAATCTGTTGTTGAGGTTATTTACTTTTCTTCTTTAGAAAAACTTAAATCTGAGTTTTAGAAACAAACACGTGAAGAAAACAGTTTTGAAATGAACCAACAATGATAATTAACTTATAACTAACTGTTCTTCTTTAGTAAACATCTTTACGTTTTCGAAACAAATGAAAGTGACAGTCAATGAGCTCACTGAAAACGTCACTGCTGATTCTTCAGAGGCTGAAAACGTCACTGCTGATTCTTCAGAGGCTGAAAATGTCTAAAACGTTTCACTGAGCTGTTTCTGTAAATGTTAATCCACTTTACGTCCGTCTGTCTGATAAGTGAAAGGTCATGTTTGTCTCCACAGATCAGTTTCAGGCCGAGAATCAGAGGATTCAGTTCTGAGTTTGGATAAAAGATAAATAAATAAAGGGTTCTGGACGTTTAATTGAGGCCATGAAGGCGCCGAGCCCTGTGTGCCGACGATGGACAGACTCTCTCTGTTCTTAGGCTCTGGCCAAATTACCAATTAACCCTCTTCTCCTTAATTCAATTCATTAGAGCCGGAGCTCTCGTCCCGGTGAGAGCCAATCACAGCGGCCTAGTTAGAGACCGCAGGAACGCTTTTGTAGAGTTTACTGACCCGAAATCAGCAGCAGGTTAATAAACAGTTAGAGTCTGTTTACTGAATTTAAGGGAATATTATAACCGTGCATCACCTCCATTATGGTGGAAAATCATATATTTAAATCTACAAAAAGAACATCACACATCTCACCGGTGTACGCTGAATATAAGAGTATGTATTGTTATATATATTGTTATATATAATGTTTGTGTCTGTATTCATGAGGATTATTTGAACGTCCTGAAACATGAACAATGTGATATTCCCTCAGTTGGATTTGGATGTTGAGACTTTCAGAGGAGGTGTTCAGCGGAGCCCGGGGTGGTTTGTTATAATCCTCGTCTGTTTCTAAACGTCTGGTTGGCTGTTGGAGAGTTTGTTGGACTGCAGAGAGCGGAGGAGGAGGAGGAGGAGGAGGAGGAGGAGGAGGAGGCTTCACTAAACATAGAACAAGTGTTCTCCGCCAACATCTACAACCAAACCCAAACGATTTCCACCAATGTGCTCCACTCACAGACTGCACCTCCAGGCTACCTCCTCTGTTCCTCCCTCCGCCGGCCACTCTCCGAGGTCAGCGTTCAGAGGAAACGCCTCCCTGTGTCGATGAATATTAAAGCAGCAGCTGTGTGGGAGGAGAGGTGAGCGGGGTGAACGCCGAGAGGATTCATTCACATCAGCCGGCCTCCATTTTTACTTTTCAGGCAATTAAAATTCATCCTTCACGCGGCTGCAGAACGGAGATGATTGCGAGGTCAAACGTGGAGCGAGGAGAGGTTTTTAAATTCAGCTTTTAATTCTGATGACTGCTGATGATTAATGCGTGTGAAGAGAAGTTTCCTTCTGCTGAAAACTAGCAGAGGATTAAGATTAATGATTCAGATCACCGATTGACATTGTTCCATTCAAATAAAACCAATTATTTTAAGATAATAAAGACCTTGAAATTCAACCTTTCATGGTTTTTGGAAATGGTCTTATAATAGATTATAACTTTTAAGTGGTGAAGGTGTCAGTTTGGAAGATAAAAATCAAGTTTAATGACAGAAAATGAGCTTTGTTTTGTATTATTTTTGGTTTTCTATGCATTTTTAATTCTTTGAACAGGAAGTAGTTTTTGAAAAAGAAAGGGTTTATTTTACTTTATAACAGTAAATTCAGCTGTGTGTAACTCAGTATAACACTTCTTATTTCACTGACTGAACAATGTGACACATCACCACACTGACAGAACTGTGGAAAGACTAACAAAGACAGTTTCAGTGAGTTTTATTCTGTTTCTGTCCACTCCGAATGAAGTTACGATGATCTGTGAGGTAAAATGTACGTTTGTCTCTGGAGTCTGGTGGAGAGTGGTAATAATAAACACTAAATGTGTATTTTGGGTGTTTTCTCTCCACAAGTCTGAAAGAAGAGGATGATTAAACCTCATTGAGATTAAAATATTCCTCATTAAGTCCACCTTACAGCTGCTTCCTGCACTCTAATTTGTTACTGGTGTTCACACAGTGGAGGGAAGCTCCAGTCTGAAATCCTCCGGAGAGGACGGCATCTGCAGGGAAACGGCGAGTCTTTAACCGACTGCGGTGCTCTGAAGGGGACAGAAAACAGACGCTTTGTGCTGCTAAGTGGGACACTTCTCTGTCAGCAGTCTGCAGCTTTCTGCAAAATGAATTGACACCGACGAGACGAGTTTACAGCTTCAGACGAGGCTGAGAACATCTCTGCAGAGACGTCCCCCTCCGTATGTCTGTCTGTGTGTCCTGCTGTACAGCCAGCAGTCTGTCTGAACTGTTACTGATCCTGCATCCCGGATCCTGTTTCTACGCCTCTCTGCTGTTTATCTGCGAACAGGAACCCTGGAAACCGACAGATTGTGTTTGCCGTGTTATGAAATCAAAACAGCGTTCGGCTTATTTTCAGCTCCAGATAACAATAATAACAACAACAGAGCCACCGGCATAGAGAGAGACAGACGGAGGCAGCAGAAAATATGTACAGAAATGAAATATTTATTAGATACCTGGTGCTTATGGTTATTATTAGAGTTATTATTATTATTATGGAGTCAGTGCTACAGGCAGGAACAAACCACAGAGCTGAATGAGACTACATAACAATCTGTAACATTTCCTCATCAAACTGTGTAAACTCTTGAGCTGATTCAATCAATAATCACACATAACTGGGATGTATTGATTTTAATGTTTTTTTATAATTCAGTTTGCACTGTTCTGTTGTCTGAGGTCCAGTCGAGGTTTCGAAAGACAGAAAGTGAAGAGAATCTGATTTAAACGGACACAGCTGATGTTGAGGGCGCCGGTGAGCACGTTAAAAACATAAACAACATTATTTACTGCGAGTTACGAACATCCAAAGCACCAACTGCTCATATCAGGTTCCCGAGTTCAGTCCTCGCCAACATTACCGAGCAGAAAACACACAAGTTCTTTCAAGATGGCCAACAGGAAACTAAAACAACCTGAGAGGAGGTGAAGTCAGGAAACAGACACAAATTGTTCCATCTGTTTCCAAAGAGCCTGCGGCCATTTTAAACATGAATAAGGCAATTTTCTCTCCTTTCCTCCGTAAATAGAAACACACAAGAAAGCTGTCAAAGACCCCAAAAGCGATTTTAAAACATTCATGCAGCTATTTTCTCTCAATCACAGCAAACCGCAGAGTCAACCAGCAACAACCCTCCATCCCTCCCTCCATCCATCCCTCCATCCATCCTTCATCCCTCCATCCATCCCTCCATCCTTCATCCCTCCATCCTTCATCCCTCCATCCATCCCTCATCCATCCATCCCTCCATCCATCCCTCCATCCTACCTTCTTCAGCTGTCCGCTCCGGGTTCCCACAAACACCACCGTGTGCTCTCCGTAGGTGTACGCGGCGACGGCGCCCATGCCCTCGGTGCGGTCCTCGTACAGCGGGTTTCCCTCGATGACCCTCAGGCCTCCCAGCGGCTGGTTCAACACCAGGCCGCAGAAATCGTCTCCGATCTGCTTCGGCTGCGGAGGAAATCATTAGAAAGAGAATTTAGTGACGAGGACGTCAGAGTGGTAATCAACCTGCTTCAGATGAAGAACGAGGAGGAAAAACTTCAGACTGATTTATTGGCTAAATGTAAAATGGTTCCATATGTGAATAATCAACAGCCATTGTAATAATATATAGTATTATTATGGATCTTTGTGTCTGAAATAAATCAGAAATCTTTATAAAATTCACAGGACACAAATTATAAATCCAGTTTTAAGAGTTTTTAAGACCTTTATGATTGTAATTTAACATCCATTTTACAGCCAAAGTGACAAAAATCACTTCTTAAAACACATTTTTAAAGACTATTGTAAGTTTGGTTTCATTATTTAAAGATTTAATTTTACTTGTATGTATTTTATGTCAAAGCACTTTGTTAACTCTGTTTTAAAAGGTGCTATATAACGTTTTGCTCTGTAGCAAAACATTAGCTAACTAGCGAAGAAACAATTGACATAAATAAGCTGACATTAGCAAAACACGAGCTAACTACTTAACAAATCCAAATAAATCATTAGCCTAGCACATAGCATAGGCACAGGAAAGGAGGAAGTTGTTCGAGGCTCAACTGTGGAGAACAGGGCACAAAGGGGGCGGGGCTTGGAGAGGGTCAATTAATAAAAACATGCTCCTGTAGCTTTAAATATCTCAAAGGGAAAATAAAGCTCCGGAGACTCAGATCAGAAAAACAAGTGTTGTACTACAGTCCCCACATGGGTCTATAAATAAACCCGAGCTGACAACACATTTATTTGTGTTGATGAAGAGGAGGAAGAGGAGGAAGAGGAGGATGACTCCGTGTTGTGATCTATTATTTCATTGTGCCGATTAGACAGTTTGTGATGATTTAAAGGTCAGTGTGATCCTTCGGAGCGCCGCAGTGGTTCATGTATAGAAACAGGGAGGAGCACACACACACACACACACACACACACACACACACACACACACACACACACACACAGAGGTTAGCTAACACCCTGTCATTAGCGGGTTAAGGCATCGATGCATCCACAGCAGCAGAACCGGGTGGAAAATGTGAAGCACAGACATGTTGGTTTAAGTGCCCGTATGAGGACTCATACAGATGTTTACAGACGTTGACGCGGAGACGATGTTTCCTTTCTGTCCCTGTTTTTATTTATTAAACCTGTTATTGTAATATTATCTATATTATAAGTTATATAGGACACTAGTGACCTCTGCCTGCTTTAGATTGGTCCACAGTGACTATGTTAGACACATCAGTGCAGATAAAGTGTTTTTACATTTAGCCGACTTATTGTAAAGATTCTGTTCATTAGATTCCTGATCAATGGATTATATTGATTATTCCTGTTTTTATTAAACGTTGTTACTCTCGATCACTGATGGTGAGTCTGATCTGATACTTATATTTATCTAAACTTTAATTAACTACATATCAGACACATTTAAATAACAGCTGTAGACACTAAATCTTATTGATCTCAAGCTACTTTATCCAATCACTGAAGATCCAGTTGATCATATTAAGTTACTGATCTGATCTGATTGTGAGTCCTGACATTGTCGTGAAGACGTCTCACTCTGTCATTAAGTTACTTACTGAATTAACGTTAATTAACTGATATGAATACTCCTCCTCTAACCTCTGCAGGCACACACTGTAGCTAGCTAGCTGATGCTAGCCACTGAACTCACGCTGCCTTTATTGGAGACAGATGTTTAATTGCTTTAACACAAACTGTTGCTCAGCACAGATGGAAATACTCTCTAACTGCTGATTCTCCTGAGTTTTGCCACCATGACACTTGAGCGTGAACGTTGTTACGGCAGCCGGCGAGCAGACAGCGAGCAACAGACACACGATTATTATTAACAGTACACGGCGAGTCTGAATGAACGTTAAACTTTGTGTTAATAGTTTCAGTAAAATGAACTAAATACTGACAGAAACATTTATATCTGAGGAGGAGATTGTAGGACAGAGTGTTACATTGTGCAGACAGACAGCCTGCTGGTAGCGCTTAATGGAAAACAACACACACACACACACACACACACACACACACAAAAAGGGACAATGTCATATTATACCCTAACATCTACGCATGACCCCCACACACACACACACACTCCCCACTGTTTATGATAAAAGAAGGAGGTCAGAGCCTGGACATTGGCTCCGCCCCCTCTGTCTTTGGCCTCAAAACACACACACACACACACACACACACACACACACACACACACACACACACACAGTAGCAGGTCATTAGTTTATATTTCATCACTTTCATCACTGTGTGGTTGATTGGTTCTGATTGGTTTGTTGGCTCCCTCCCTCCCTCCCGTCCCCGTATCCCTGCCCGGCCCCGGACTTCGTCTCCTGGCGGGTTTCCCTGCTCAGTTGCCGTGGCAACCACTGCAGGCCATTACCGCCATGAATAAGAACATCATCTACCCCCCCGACCTGAAATAACCCCACTGCAGACAGAGACACAGAGAGAGAGACTGAGAGAGAGACAGAGAGAGAGAGAGACTGAGAGAGAGAGAGAGAGAGAGAGAGAGAGAGACAGACAGACAGACAGACAGACAGAGACACTGAGAGAGAGAGACAGAGAGAGAGAGAGAGAGAGAGAGAGAGAGACAGACAGACAGACAGAGACACTGAGAGAGAGAGAGACAGAGAGAGAGAAGACAGAGACACTGAGAGAGAGAGAGAGAGAGAGAGAGAGAGAGAGAGAGACAGACAGAGACACTGAGAGAGAGAGACAGACAGACAGACAGACAGACAGACAGAGAGAGACACTGAAAGAGAGACAGGCACAAGGTGTCCCAGTCATATTGATCCTGTATTGACAGTCAGACTGTGGACATATGACGGCCTTTAGCTCGTGTTTCTAGAGTTACGTGTTGTTACGAACACGTTAGGAATTGTTAAAATGTGATATTTCTTAAAGGGAGTTTGGTGCAGGGAGCTTTTAGTTGGATTCAAACTGCTGATATGGATCATTGTTAACGTTTAGTCTCCACTACAGAAACACTAGCTAACTGCTGAAGGCTGATCAGGTTGATTGATGCTTTAATAATGGGAGTATTGATTAGTGATTATCAGCTGATTGTACTCAGATTCTAACAGCAGACTGGTCGACCAGAATCAAAAGTCTCAGAAACTTTGACAGTTGTTTCTCACCGTGTGGATGCAGGGCAGCTCTTTGTTGAGTAACCACGGTAACGAGAGTCGTCCCTCGCCGCGGTAACATGAGCGGATCCTCTCTCTCATGACGAGGTTGATGTCGTGGAGGGTGAACAGACAGAGGACAGTCTCTCTGGGAGGGTTAGAGCGATTCTTCTGACCCTGAAAACACAAAAACCAGTTTCAGAGCCGCTGATTCGAATCCTGAGAGGCTGAAACCCCCCGAAGCAAACAACAGTTTAAAGACAAATCAGTATCAATGTTCAACGATCCAATATGTCGATTCAAGGTGAAAACATTGATTTATATCGACACCTTTACTTTGAAGGGAATATATTGTAATGGCTTGATGGTAAGAAAATGTTCATGTTAAAAACTTTGACCTTACCTGTGAGAAGACGACGAAGAGGACGTCGTCGTCCTCGGACAGGCCGAGCGCCTGCGCCAGCCGGCGTCCCGGTTTCTGTTTGTAGGCGGCCTGCACGAGTCGGTACTCGACGCCGTCTTTGGTGCAGCCCAGAGGAAACTCCACGTAGGAGTAGAACTCGGTGTCGTTGGAGCACATCCTGACGATCTTGGAGGTGAAGAACTTCTCTCCGCCGGCGTCCATCTGCGTCAGCTGCGTGTCCAGCTGCAGAGTCAGGAAGTAGACGTATGTGCGGCTGGAGAAGCCGTAGACGTAGTAGATGTCGAAGGCCGGGTAGAGCGACAGCGTGTCCGACGGGATCTTGATCTGTGAGGAGACAAACTCGTCCTGGTAGACCAGCGAGAACATGTTGACGCTCTCCTCGTCCGCCACCAGCTTCCTGCTGGACAGCGTGGGGAAATACTCAGACTTTCCGTCGATGGCGGCGCCGATGAACAGGCGGCTGCCGCCCTTCAACGGCTTCTTCCTCTTCGGATCGGCCGTCCAGTCGTCCTCACCAACGACGACGCCTGAGGAGGAGGAGGGACAAAGTCATGACATCTGTTTACAGACTGCTGTACAGGTGCTAGTTAGTGAGCTGGGTCAATGCTACGTCTGCAACAGCTGATAAATACACAGTCACAAGGCAGAGTGTGTGTGGGGGGGGGGCCTTGACCCCAGCTGCTCAGTGGCAGCAGGTCAGACTGTGGTCGCACTGGGCAGCTTCCAGAGAGTTTCTCTCAATAAATAAAGAAATTAAGAAGACGAAGTGCTGGAACCAGTTTTCCTGGCTGAGAGCCGGTTGGAGATTAGGCACCAGCTCTTTCCCTCGGTGGAAAATGAGAATTATAGCAGGAATTGAACTGAAGGTGACTTAATGTGTTTCCACTCTCTCAGCTCGGGACCAGTTCCTGGAGCTGAACTCTGTTTGGGAGGTGATACCGAGTTCCAGGTACTTGGTGGTGATTGGTCGAGCAAATGTGACATCGAACCACAAAAAAGAAACAAACGCAGCCAAATAAAGAATCAGTGGAGCAAACAGAGAAACCACAGGGTGGTTCTGGATACAGTCCAACATAAATCATCTGGGCCGAAAGGTATCAGTGCCACTTATAAAGTGTTCTTACTTCACTGCCAGAAAGCACAGTCAGCCTTAACTAGCTTAGCTTAGCTATACCAAAAGAGAGTAAAAACTCTACACTTTCGATTTCCTCGTCCGTCTGTTTTACCCGAATGAATTAGCATTAGCATTAGCCTGTGAAGAGAAGCACTTTGTAGATGATGCTTGCAGTCGCGGCACTGAAATAGATCAAATGCTAACTGATGCTAAAACCAAAAGGTCTCCTTTTTACACTTTTATTCTGGCCTTTGTGCTAAGCTAAGCTAAACACGCCCTGGACCTATTTCTGTCATGCACAGAAATTAAACAGCGACAAAAACAGGGAACAAGTTTACTGAACAAATGAAACTGAACACTACTCGCCAGCGTAAGACACAACATAGTTATCTGTTTATTCTGCCAGCTACAAACCACTAGCATCTCTGTGTGAGCACATGAGGCTGAGCAACGTGTCCATCAGTGCCTTTCTAATGCGCTCCGTCCCGCGGCGGCGCTCAGCGTGGTGTGTCAGCTGACAGAAACTGTTGTAGAGACGTGGTTTGAGATGTGTTGACAGAGTATTGTTGTCACTCTCCTGCCGTTTTTCTTTTCTTCGTTCAGTTTTTTTTGTTCGAACTAAAAACTACGGCAACTGATTTAGAATAAAAACCTGCAAAACATTTTGACACATGATTGACGCCTGCAGGTTGAAACGCTTTATGGAGAGGAAACACCAGAGCTTTTGTTTTTCTCTTGTTGGCATCAAATGTGAGACACAGTGTGCTGAGTTTAAAGCTGCACACTGTTTATAAAGACCACCAGCAAACAAACAGTAGCTATATACTCCGCCCACTCCATCACAGCTTACCTGCCATCCCATCAGCCTCTCTGGCTCCAGACAGGTAGTGCTCTTTGCGGTGATGCGGCTCTCCCAGTTTGAACAGATCGTCCAGTCGGAGGAACTGACAGACGCCCTGCCAGATCGACCCGCACGCCACCAGCCGGTTCCCAGTATAATCCACCAGTAAGAGCTTGTTCACGTTGTCTGAAGACTCCAGCCTGAGGACGCACACAGACAGGTGTCAGACAGACAGATGACAGACAGACAGGTAATACAGTCAGACAGGTGTATCAGACAGACCGGTGGGCGCAGGCCCTGACGCTGGGCGGGGGGTAACACTTGGCGTTGTCCTCCACCGGTCCGGTCATGTGACTCCGGAGCTCCGTCAGATTGGCCGACAGCTTCAGCACGCGGTTCACGGCGCCGACGTAAACCTCCCCCGTCCTCCGGTGGACCGTCAGGTGGGTGAGGGAGGTGTCGAACGCCCGGTACACCACCCTGGCCGCCGCCGCGGAGGGAGGGGGAGGAACAGCCGGGGCGGAGAGGAGGGGGGAGGACAGGAGGAGGAGGGAGAGGAGGAGGAAGAGGAGCATGGTGGAAAGAGAGAGGAGGAGGAGGAAGAGGGGAGGATGGAGGGATGGAGGAGGAGAGGAGGGGAGGGGAGGAGGAGGAGGAGGAGAGAAGAGCTGACTGCAGGTCTGATGAAGAGTCAGCTTCAATGGAGCATGGCTGTGGAGAGAGAGACAGACAGAGAGAGAGACAGTTAGACATACTGCAGCAACCGGCCAAAAATCAGTGGACGGCAGATTCATCATTAACAGACGGGAGACTCTGATTGGACGGTTCTGATGATGTCATCATCAGACAGGTGAGGTCAGACAGACTGACTAGCAGTGAGACGGGAGAAGATTGACAGCTGTCTGTCTGTCTAACCAGAGGTTGAACAGCTGGAAACACCTTCAAATCCTGCTTTTATTCTGAAATCCTCTTTAAAACCTGAAATTATTTACAAGAAGCTCTCTGACTCTGTGTGTGTGTGTGTGTGTGTGTGTGTGTGTGTGAGTGTGAGTGTGTTATTGATCCGTATTGATCTGTGTCTGTCTGTCCTCTCACTGATTCTCTCATAAAGCTGCAGCAGCTCCAGTAACACTGAGCTGGATGGAAACTTCACTCTCATCCTGGCAGCCATTTCTCCTCCGTTTACATTTGATTGACAGCTCCGATTACACACACACACACACACACACACACACACACACACACACACACACACACCAGTACAACCAGAGTCAGATGAATGTACAGACAGACACAAAATGGAGGGTCGTGGTCGCCGGCTGCAGATTGTGCAGTAAACGCCTCCTGTGAGTGCTCGGCGAGCTCTCGGCGTGGGCGCCTTCCCAGCGGGAATTGAACCCTCGGCTGCAGCAGCGCTTCATATGACGCTTCTGTGTTTCAGCTCGGACACTTTAATCAATAAGAGAGAATATGAGGAACTGAATGTGCAAACAAACAAGGCTCAGTGTTTGTGACGGTTTCTTATATTCACTGATACACTGATGGAAACACAGCGATCACATTACAGCTGATCCACCAAACTCCATTCAGAAAACAACGGTTTTAAAAGTTTTTTGTCGTCTCGCACACAGACCGACCACATGTATGTCATTATTACATCATCAGTCTGATCAGTTTATTGACAATAAATCACAGAAACACCGTCGTCAGATGTTTGTTCTTTCATATTGTGGTTGCAGTAAATTAGCGTTCTAGCTAACAGTTTTACCTGAGCAAAGTTAGCATACCGAAACTCTATTCAGAAAACAAGCATTTTAAAAGTTGTTCATAACGTCGCCGTGATCCAAGGTTGAACACTTACTCGCACCAGTAAACACTAACGATCCTGCGACTAATGAGATCAGAACTCACCGACACTATAAAGATACTGATGGAGGAGGAGTCAACAAACCACAGAGGTCGTGTAAAAGAGTCAAACTGAGCATTTTCTAACTCCTAAAACCCGACAACGACCGCTGGATTACCGTTATGGTATCAATAGCTCTAGCAATAGTGAAATCACTGTTTTTGTCAATGGAGTCTGGTGGCTGTGAACAAAGCGACGTTAAAGCTACATATGAAGACGTAAATATAACAGACTGATAGTTTGAGCCGTAGAAGAAGCAGAGCGGTGCAGCGCTGACGGCTCTGATGTGTGCTCACACACAAACGAGGTAATTCTGGCGTCAGTGTAAGATTCACATCCAGCTAATTGAGCACGACTTCACACAGGAAGTCTTAACGAGGAGGTCTTCTCTCAGCTGCTCCATTAATACATCTGAACAAGAACAAACTCCTTCAGTCGTCTCTAATAACTCCTCCTGATCAGATCAACCAGACTCCATTCAGAAATCAAGTGTTTTAAGAGTTGGTTGCTCGTCGTCTTGCGGACAGACTGACAGTCAAACATGGAGTCGACATTGTTTTCTGAATGGAAGGATAATAAAGTTTTTACTCCAGCAACAGGGAGGTACAGTAAGTCGAGTCCAACAATTAACCCTGTGACACACACACTCTCTCTCTCACACACACACACACACACACACACACACACTCAGGATCACAAAGAGGCAGTGAAAGATCAGCACATTAGTTAATTAGCCTGCTGAGCTGAGGGGGAGAGCGGGAGAGAGGTCGACAGATGGACCGGAGTGAGTGTGTGTGTGTGTGTGTGTGTGTGTGTGTGTGTGTGTGTGTGTGTAGACAGATAGAGTTTCTCTAACTGGACTACGATTTCATTGGACCATCCATCACCCTGCTGAACCGCAGACTGACTGTGTGTGTGTGTGCTAACCAGAGCTAACATTAAATCCTGGGATGGAGGTGGAAATGCTAACAGCTAAGCTAAGCTAATGCTGCGTTTATGCCGTAACATTCGGAGCATTAATACGAGCCTCAGTAGCGGTTCCAGGTGAAAGTGACTGGACAGCTGAGGATTAACGTTAGCTTACATTACTGCAATTTTCACAAATATTTCCTCTTCTAACAGTGAATGAAGGATTTATTTCCACCGAACCAGAGTTGGTGATTGTTGGAAACACTAACAGAGACAGTTTTATTTGTTTGCCCTTTAATGAAGTACTATGATCTGAGGTAAAATTAGTGTTTTTTCTGTCTGGTGGAAGGTAATATGGAACAAACTACAACTACTGTTAGTGGAACAAACTACAACTACTGTAGTGGAACAAAAATACTTAGTGGAACAAACAACAACTACTGTTAGTGGAACAAACAACAACGACTACTGTTAGTGGAACAAACTACAACTTCTGTTAGTGGAACAAACAACAACTACTGTTAGTGGAACAAACAACAACTACTGTTAGTGGAACAAACAACAACTACTGTTAGTGGAACAAACAACAACAACTACTGTTAGTGGAACAAACAACGACTACTGTCAGTGGAACAAACAACAACTACTGTTAGTGGAACAAACAACAACTACTGTTAGTGGAACAAACTACAACTACTGTTAGTGGAACAAACTACAACTACTGTTAGTGGAACAAACTACAACTACTGTTAGTGGAACAAACAACTACTACTGTTAGTGGAACAAACTACAACTACTGTTAGTGGAACAAACTACAGCTACTGTTAGTGGAACAAACAACTACTGTTAGTGGAACAAACAACAACAACTGTTAGTGGAACAAACAACAACTACTGTTAGTGGAACAAACTACAGCTACTGTTAGTGGAACAAACTACAACTACTGTTAGTGGAACAAACTACTACTGTTAGTGGAACAAACTACTACTGTTAGTGGAACAAACTACAACTACTGTTAGTGGAACAAACTACAGCTACTGTTAGTGGAACAAACAACACTACTGTAAGTGGAACAAACAACAACTACTGTTAGTGGAACAAACAACTACTGTTAGTGGACATACGATAACTAACAAAGTTATTTTTTTGAGTTTTATTTTGTTTGTCAAGTTTTAACTTTATGTGCTAGTTAAAGTTACTGATTTTGTGAATGGAGTCTGGTGGGTTGTTTTGTCCGACACTCTGGAGCTGTAGTGTGTCAGCGTTCAGTCCGAATCAGCTTCATGATCTTTACCTGCTCCTGTTTTAATATTAGAGCTTTAGTGGTTGTTATTAATCACTGTATTGAGTTATTTTAGAATAAACTTTAAATGTTTTTTACAAACAGACCGAACTCCACCCGGCTGCTGTGTCAGCGCCCAGACAGGAGCCATAAAACCAACACATCCTGTCCCTGACTGACTCCTACCCCCTCCATCATCTCCATCTGCATCCCCCCCTCCTCACCCTCTCCTCACCCCTCCGGCTCTGTGACTGGGGCTCTGTTTGGCTCTCAGGCTCCAATAAACACACAACAAAGACACATTGTGCCGCAGCTTCCGGGTGGAGGAGGCCACCGCTCGGAGGGTGAGAGCTTCGGGGTGGTCCGGGGGAGAGATGGAGGGGGGAGATAGGGAGCTGAGAGCTGGACTCAGACTCAGATAGAGGTAACGGAGGCAGATACACTATCTCCTGTCTGCTCATCGATCAGCTGATTGGCAGCCAACATCCTCAGTGTGAGAGTTTAAACGTCTTCAGCTTCAGACTGAAGACGTTTATGGACAAAGTGATGTCTTCAAGTTGTTTCTGTTGTTCAAACTCTTCTTTAACAACAGCAAACATTCTGAATTAATGTTTGTGGCTCAGACATCCTCTACGTGGCGGCCATTTTAAAAACATTTAACCATCTACGTCGGTGAATTAAGGATTTATTTCCACCAAACCAGAGTTGGTGATTGTTGGAAACACTAACAGAGATCGTTTTAATGAAGTTGTGATTATCTGAAGGTAAAATGAGTGTTTTTGTGAATGGAGTCTGGTGGAGAGTGATGTTACTGTCTGTCTGTCTGTGGGTGGAGAACCTCTGTAAGTGAGACAGGCTCTTTCTATATATACAGTGAACATGCTGAAAGCTTTATTACACATGAAGATGTAAACATGTGTATGTACATATAATATAAAATACAGTTTGACTGTAATTACAACGTGCTTTCTGTTGACGTTGAGAAATGACAGACTGCGCCTTTAAAGGCTGATTTCAGACAGTAAATGTGTCGTGTGAACAATAACTCGGATCTAATTTGGCGTGATTGTTGTGTTACTTCCTGTAATTACATAAACACAGTGGACTGTAAACCGCTGTGCACTTTAATACGTCCACTTTAATTTTACTGCGTCTTCCTCTGTAATTACAAACCGCTGTAAATTGTCTGACTGTGCTATTATCAGCTACAGCGCTAACACGCTAACACCCCGTCCCTGTGAGTCCCACGCCGTGATCACTTCACTGTCCGTCTGTAAACCACAGCTTCATCCTCTCAGGAGACGACGGGTGGTGGTTAATTACAAACTGCTGCCATTGTGTTTAATATGAGAGAGTGGAGTTATTATAGTTTGTAGTTTTATCGGTTAACTTTTGATTTCAGTTCAGTTTTTATAGATTAAATATTTTAAGCTTGGTGGAGACATTTTTTTTATCTTTATTTTTTTAAATGTTTCAAGAGTCCTTTCTATAAAAAACACATTTTCCCTTTTCGTTCGACTGCATCCTCATCAGTTATCAGCGGTTTTATTTCCATTTAAACGTTGCAGGAGTGTGAAGTGACTCTCTGGCAGAAACTCTACATTGAAACAAAAA